TGATTTCATTTTTTCCAGATCCCCTTTTGTTGCCAGTTCAGTGGGTCCAGGTGGTTGAGTATCAGAGTGTTCCATCTCATTTCCTTTTGGGTTTGGTGTATGTGATCTGGAAGTCTAGTTTTGAGACATATTTAAGTATTTTCTGGTTTCAGTTGGGAAGGGTTGTGGGGTGCTCTTGGCACTTGTTCGACTCACCTCCTTTGAGCTGGGAGAGGTAGGCCAGGGGCCTGGAGTGGCGGTAGGGATGGTGTCCTGAACGTCCCTTCCTCTGGGCCAGGAGCAGTGGGATAGTGGCTCAGAAACCCCTACCACTGGGCAGGAATTCTTTAAATGCTGAGAACTTGATTTGCTCCAGTACAGTGGTCTGGTGGCCCAGTGTCCTCTGCATCTTTGTAGTGTGGAACCAGGTGGAAGTACAGAGAAGAGGCCAAAGGAGTAGTGGGGGGGCCAGTGGATTGCTGCTGGGCCCTGGGCAGATTCGGTGTTTTCAGCTTGACCGGCGATCTCAGGACCGCTATCTATTATGTTTTGCACTCTTGTGTTTATTGCAGGTTTTCTTACTTTTGTTTATTGCTTTTTGCAAATTTTCAGACATTGTTTCTTCAAACATTTTTCTGTTTTTTTCTCATTTCTTCTTTTTTTCACACTCTCCCCATTCTTCTTCTTGTATTCTCTTTTCACCTGTTACCATGTTTGTAAATGCCTCAAACTTCCTGGGTATTCTATTCTATTTCATGGGATGTTGTCATTTCTCTTCCCTTTATAGTTCTGTAGGTTCCTACACACCTTACTGAAAATATATCTAAATGTAAAATATTGAAATAAATATCATTTTAGTACCTGGTGGTGTATAATTGCCTATAGTTACTGATTAACTGATTATTAGAATTTGCCAGGGAAATCTTTTATACATGTTTTCATTTTGAAAAGTTATTAACATGCCCATTTTTAATATATTTTCATAATAATGGCTATTTATGTTAACTTTTCCTTCAGATGACCTTGATGTCTTGTACTATAGGAGAGGTTACACACACATAAATGTGAGAGGTGTAATCCTTTAAAATATAAATATAAATATATATATATATTTTCCAATTCTAAAATTTCCTTTATGTTTTACGTTATGCTTTCTATTTTCCTACTGAGAATTCCTATCTCAATTTTTCCACAAGTGTTTTGTTTTACCTTTTTTGTGCATTTATAATAGCTCTTTTATACTGTTTGTTTCCTCCAACATCTACTTACTGCATGATGGATATCATGTCTCTTTTTCTCTAGAGAATTTTTCAGATTTTCCTGTTCCTTCATCAATTGATGTGGTGTGGTACATGCAACACATTGAGTATTATTAGAATATAGATCTTATTTAAATTCTACACAGAAAATATATGTCTGTTTATATTAAGTATTTTTACTTGTTTCAGTCAGAAATGTATTTTCTAAGTTTTGCAATAGTTTTGACCCACCTTCCATGCCCTCTGCTTCTAAGGTAGTTAAGTTTAATGACCTCTCACTGATTTTTAGATGTGTCCTGCATGTGTTCCACTCATAGGCATACTGGGACCTTAGCCATGTTCTACTTTGCTGTTTAGTCCTCAGATCCTTGGTATGCTGATTAAGGTCATGTCCAAAAATGTATAAATTGGACAGTATCCCTAGTAATCATAAACAACTCAATGCCATGCCATTTTCAACATCCCTCTTCTGGATACTTTGCTTGGGACTTACCTACAAGATCCAACTTCTACTGAATCTTCTGGCTAGAATTTTCTGGAGATTAATATTTTTTCTGCTGCACACTCTCAAAAGGACTCATTCTGTTTTGGGAACCAAACTGCAAGAGTATAAGAAAAAATTAGCCAGAGAAAACTGCTCACCATCTTTGGTCCTCAGTTCTTTTTGTAGGAAAGGCTTTCCTTCTATGAGTTGTGGATGATGGCATAACTCTTGGTTCCTGTATTGTTGTTGCCACTGAATTTCAGCCTCAGGACTGGGGGTTAAGGGAATGAAACAGAGATTATGTGTATCCATCACTTAATTCCTATTTACTCTGAGATTTTAAGAAAAATACTAGATAAGATTGACTTCAAAATTTCCTACTTTAAACTTTGTCTGATATTAAGCATATAAAGGAATTTAAAACATGACAAAACCAGTTGTCATGTTACCCATATGTAATTCCAGATATTCAGGACTCTGAGGCAGGAATACTAGATATTCACATCACCTTAGACAATTTAGGGAGACCAAGTCTCAAAATAAAAACGGGTTTGAAATGTAGATCAGTGGCAAATGTGAAGTCATGGGTTCAATTTTTTAGTAATACAATGCACACACACACACACAGAAAACACAAATACAGACATAGATTTTATATTTTTCCCTTAATACAACAGTTTTCTTGCAAAGTAGACATTCAAACAATATCTGCAACAAAACTGCATAAAAACATATTTTTACAAACCTCACAATCTAAGCAGATTTAACCAAACCACAAATAACAAAATTTGCATATGATTTCATGAAAATGTAGGAGAAAGCCTGGAAATAAAGCTCAAAGGAAGAATGTTTTCTCGGCATGCTCAAGGCCCTGGGTTGGATTCCCTGCATCATAAAAAATTTGAAAGAAAAAAAAGTTTGTAAGGAAAAGAAGGAAGACAATGAATTTCTGTTTTTTCTGTGAGATAGAAAACTGAAAATTGTCATCAGGCAGTGCTAGAAAGTTTTGATCTTCACTCTAACAGCAAATCTATTGATCTTCACTCTAATCTCAACTCTATTGAAGTTTCAGTTGATGATATAAACAAATTAGCAATTTGGATTAAAGATTTTCAAAATAAGAGAAAATTGAAACACATCAACTTAAGAATTTCAGTAAATATCCTTAAATCCTAAAATTAGTTGAAAATATAAAGACTATATTTTCTATATTGACTTTTATACTACTAAAAAGCAACTAATTCAGCAGGAATAAGCATCAGGAAAAGCCAAATTTCAGCTTCTAATTGTCAATTTCCCTTCAATACATTCAAAATTAGTTGGAGAGGTTTAATTCGACTTCCAGTGGATGACATGTAGGATGAGCCTCTGGTAGATCATTCAACACTAGGTAAAAAGAAGCTTATAACAACTTCCACTTTTGCCAAGATAATTTGGGCAGCAACTTAAAGTTATTGCTTTATTGAAAAGACAATATAAGTGTCAGTAAAAATACTCATGAAATATTTAAGCACGGCAAAAAATTAATATTATGAGTGCATGCAATATTAGGAAATAAAAATATACTGATGCAACTCAGAATTCTAAGGTAGCAACTTGTTTTCAAAATTAACTAATGTAGAAAATTATTAACTATTTAATAACAAGTAAAAATGATACTATTTGAAGTTACTAAATTAATTGATCTTGCTATGATAATGAGAACTAAGTAAAGAAAATAAAGATACAATATCATTTTCCTCATAACGAGATTCCACTTGTGAAGTATTATTACAAATATAAGTAAAACTAAATAGGTAAACGTTGTTTGAATTACTAACAGTTTGTAGAAACAAGAAATATAAATGATGTTTTAATGATACAGGGATGCAATAAAATATTCAGATTGCAAGAAATTCTACAGAGAATAGGACTAATTTTCCTACACAAATAAACTAAAGACGATAAGGAGAGATGAAGATTTAATATCTTAACTTTATCTATTAATATTGCAATGAATAATAAAATATTATTGAAAATAATAATATTTGGTTTATAATTTAATTCATTACAATATAACAACACAAATAAATTAAGTAACATGGTATTTGAGATTAGATTTTAAATTATCAAGTACAGTGCTGGTGAATAAAGTGAGGAAACACATGAAATGAAATTCAGCATAAATTAAAGTTACTGGAACTTGATGATAGTTACATGGATGTAAACTGTACTTGGTTATCTTTCTATATATATTTCCATTAACAGTTTTAAAAAAGCATCAAACCTTAGCCAGAGCAGATGTGCCAAAGAAAGTAATAAAAGTGACACATATAGAAAAGAGAGAAGACAAACTATCTTTATTTGCAGATAACACGATCTTTCCAAATAGAATACTCAAAATTTCCTAGAAATAGCAAAACAATTCAGAGAGGTAGAAGAATACAATATCAGCAGAGAAAAAAATGGTGCTCCTGTACATCAATCATGAACTCACCAAGAGAAAATTTAGACAAGTAACATCACTCACAATGGCATCAAGAAAAGTTCAATACTTAGGAATTAACCTAATTAAGGAAATGAATGCCCTCTAGCATGAAAACAAGAGCACTCTGTAAAAGGATATGTAAGAGAGCATCAGAAATTGGAAAGATGTCTTCTATTTCTGGATAGAGAGAACCAATATTGTCAAAATGTCTATACTATCAAAACTGAAATATGTAGATTTAATATAATCCTAATCAAAAGACCAATAGTATTCCTCAAAGAGCTAGAAAACAATTAAAATTTTATATAAAATGAGAAGAGACCCAGAATAGCAAAACCAATTCTAGGCAACAAGAGAAAAGCAGGAAGCACCACAACCCTGTATTTCCAATTAACAAAGCTACAGTGATGAAAGCAGTGTAGTACTAGCCCCAAAACAAACATGTGGATCAATGGAACAGAATAGAAGTAGCAAAAATGACCCAAGGCATATTCAGACATCCAATCTTGATCTTCAAGGAGTCAAAAACATATGATTGAGGAAAAATAGACCCTTTAATAAATAATGCTGGGAGAGTGGCTAGATATGTGCAGAAGACTGAATCCAGACTCATATCTCTTAACTTGTACTAAAATAAGAAAAAAAAATATGATCAAAGACCTAAATATTAAAATAAAGATGATAAACTAGGTAAAACTCTTGAAGATATAGGCATGGGTATGGACTTTCTGAATAGTCCCTCAACAGCACAATTCACTGCTGAATCAACAAATCAGATTATCTCAAATTAAAATTTCTTTACTCCAAAGAAAACAGTCAATAGAATGGACAACCTAAAAAGTGGGCCAAAATTTTGACATTAAATCATACAGTTATATACTTAAAACATAGATAAGATTTCTCATTCTCATTCAATTTTAGGACCTGTAGGCAATGATCTGAAGTTTGGAAAACAAAAAATATAATCATTTATTAGTACATTAAAAGACTCATGAAAATGTGAGAAACTTTATAAATCTCTACATCGTCAACTGCCCAGAAACCATTTCTTGTGTGTAAATTCAAAATTTTTTCCTTTCAGTGTAGCATTCATTGATAATAGCATTATAGATTTATAATTTTAATTATTCACTTTATTTAAAACTTGTGCTTCTAATTACTCAATTATGAATACATGTAGTTACATGAATCAGAATAGCTATAACAATCTATTTTGAAAGGCACTTTATAATTTATTGCCATTTGTTTCTAGGTTTTTCTCATTTTCAAAGGCAGTCATCCACAAAAAAATCCATACATAAACTAACATTCTATACATAAATCATTAAAAACTCCAGTTCATTTCTGACTTTCATCACATTTGTATCACCTAACCTTTTTGGTTATAACTGAAGTACTTAGTAGGGCAGAACTCTGAAACAAAACAGCACATTTTACATAATGACACAATTTAAAAGTTATCATGAGAACGTATTTATATAGAAATAAATTTTATTTAAACTCTGACATGTTTAAACACAATTTCTTATTTGAAAGACCAATGGCTCTAATGTTAAAATGAATTGGAAATATGACTTCTAATTTCCTGACAGCATGTAACATGGTTCTACTGAGGGCCATTTGTTGAATGCCTCCCATGTCTTACATGACCCACTTTATTATGTGCATCAATTTACATAGATTTTTGCATGTGTTTCTGGGCTAATTTTAAAACTACAATAGCTCACTCACTATTGAGTACAAAGCCCTTTGATTTTTCAACAAATTAAAAACCCTGAGAATTAATGTTTCTCAGTATTTTGTGATTTACCAAGTTTATATTTGATTGTCAAAAGTCTGATTCTTTTATTTTGCTTATTTTATCTAATTAAAGTGCTTTATCATACTGTTCTGAGTAGGTGATTGTTGTTTAATTCATTTATTGTTGTCATCCCAAAATTTACCATTTATGTTAGTTATGTTAAAGCTTATTTTTTGTCCTGTGGTACCTCAATTTTGTTCTTCCCAAGCCATATGTTGTGTAGCATTCTAAAATATGCCACATTGTGTCATGTATGGCTTATATTTATTTTAAATGATAAGATAACTTGTTTATATTTGAATTATTTTAATTCTAGCACCTTATGTTGCTTTCTCCAATCAAGTGCTTTGGTCACATGTTATAAAGTCTCTTAGATTCTACAGACTACAGAGAGAAACAGATGCTATGTGACTATTATTACATGTCCATCTTTTATTTCAAGTTCTATGTATATAAGTTCATAAAAGGTCATGCTTTCATCTCCTGAAGGTCACCAGTTTTCCTTAATCTCTGTTTTCAGTGATTAAAAGAGAGTTAGTATTATCATTTTCCTCAATCAAAACAGGGTTGTCTTTATATTTTACTATTAGTAAATATGGAAATTTACCTGCCTAAAAATGAACTTAGTGGGTAACTTCTCCTGTATTATTTCATATGTGTGGTTAAATAAATTTGGAAGTAATTTTAGCTTAACACATTTTGAATATTAAGTACTACTCTCTAAACATTAACTTTTTTCTGTAAATTATTTCTTTCACAGAAATCATGATAGTTTAAAAATTTATTCACAATACAATGAAAGTTTTATAAGGCAAAATTGAATTTATAATAGATTCAATAACTATTTATGATAGATTCAGTAACTATATATGATACTGTTATCCATAAAAATTATAGAATTGCTTTTATAAAAACTAACCTTGAAGTTCTGAGAAAAAGAATTATATCTCTCAGCTTTTCCTACAATTATTCAATTAGTTGTTTATCTACAATATCAACACAA